CAGCCGCTTCGCGTTTTCCGGCAACGTTACGCGAAAATCGTCACGGTTCTAAGCGAGAACGGTGCTCGACGACGTATAGCAGGGTGCTGTGGCCTGCTATCCGGCTCACGATACGAACGGACACGTAAAAACCATTGAAATACACCGACAGAGGCGTGAAATCATTCCACGTCTGTCGCTCGCGTCTCTCGTGTCTTTTGCCTCTCGTCGCGTCGACTCTCCGCCAATCATGGGCTTCGGTCGTGCTCGTCCCCGATCGGGATTAGTCGCTCGTTGTCGTTCGCCGTCGGGACGAAAGCCCGCTCGGGCGCGCCCGCACGAACAATGACCTCAATCAGGCCTGCCAAACCTTACGATCGAATACCCACTTTCACTTGATTCGATTGCTTCACTAGGGAGCGCTGTATTGGACGTGTATAGGGGGGTCCCCCTTTCAGGGTCGTCTTGTTCGACGGTACCCCGAGTTTGTTTCTCGGAGCCTGCGGAAAGATTGAGGCCTATGAACAAATCTTAATGATTATGAAAATTTTTGAATTAAAGAATATAAGATTGGATAATGCGATGTCTCTTGGACATTTTAATAGCAATTTTAATTGAGAATGTGGAATAGAAAGATGCGTAGGGTGTATGAACATAATGATACTAATTTGGATTTTTGTATTAGTTTATATTTGATGACGTCTCTTACTATGTATGCGTAGGCTTGTGCAATTATTTCGCAATGGTGTTTTATTTGATTAACTATGAGACATAATGCAGTTAAGAATTATGTAGAATTTGAAGTAATAGGTTCATGATGATATAGGAATCAGTTCTATGCTTGTTAGCAGTATAAATGATATATGAAATATGTGGAATCGCGTTGTGTTTAAATGCAAATTTAAATTCAAATTCAAGTTTTGAGACAAGTATTAGTTGCATTTTAAAGTTGTATCTTTACCAAATGTTTGATTGCATCTGGTTATTGAAATTTTCATTCCTGTCAGGCTTCAGGAAGTCACGCGTTAAAACGCTTTCCTGCGTTGCATAGTTTCCTGTGTTACTAATACATGTTCGTTTAAAAGAATATTTAAAACATTATTTATATATACGTAGACGAAATTGTTTTATTTGGAGAAATAATTTTATTTGAAGAAACATATCAAATCGGATCTAAACACATATATATTTTTTTTCTTCATAAAGTATGTATAAGTATATGTATAAATACATTTGTTTATAATTAATAAAAACTTTCTATGTAAGTACTCTATGTAAAAATCTTAAGTAATAACAAATGTTAATAAATTTATCCAACAGGAATGTGTAAATAGGATGCCACAAAAATTCGTAGAATTTTATTAATATTCTCTGTAGTACTTAAATCTATGTTATCGCGATTATCACCTGGTTTATGCCAAAACGATGGGAATGGATATGGTATCATGTGCAATATAGGAGTGTCTGAAATACAAATTTTGTATTAAATTTGAACCTTATAAACAGTTTGTATGTATGCCAAATTTATGGGCTCACCTCTTTGTAAAAATGGAATATGGTCATCATCAATTTCGGCCTCCATTGAATAAGGTTGGAAATATTTTTGAGCAGGCTTTCCATAAGTGTATGATTCAAACCTTTTGAAGCCAGCTAACTTATTTTCAATTGTCATTAATAAGGAATACCATTTCTCTGTATTAGTGAAATAATTATAAAATGTTGGGTCTGGTGCACCTATTAAATCCAAAAGAACTAACAAATCCTGTGAAAACAAGAAACAATTAAAGATCATGTAGATTAAATTAAAACTCAAACATACTTACCAACTTGTCTAGTTCAGAAATATTTTCTCCATTTTCATAAGCAGTATAATTGCTATTCCAAATTTTTGCTAAATGTCTTGCACCGTAAATCGAATCCTTTGGCCCCCATTCTTTAAATGCTTCTTCACCGTCAAAGAATATGAACATTAAGCTAACATCATTCTGAAATCAATATAGTTTTATTGTATTTAATTGGATCAAACTTTTAGAGATGAATTACTTACATTTTTCACAGAATTTAAATGATCCTTCATAACATTGGCTAGATTGATCAACTGAGCACATGGCACAGCACTATCTGTAGCGCCAACAAAGTTTCTTTCCCTTGTGTATTTTGAGTCATAATGGCAAGCTAATGCTAAGTACCTTCGTGCATTAGGATTTAATTTAGCAATAATATTTTCAAATTGCAATGTACCAAATGTTGGTGTATGATCTTCAAATGTATCAGACTCTACCTTCCAACCAAGATCTTGCATTGAGTTTTTAATGTACTATAAGGCAAATGATATCATCTTCTTATCAGTGTGTTTACAATTTTATATCATGTTTATGCATAACTTATGTAAATTACAATCATAATGATTCGGTAAATCTCGAAATTCTGTTATCAGTTTAACATTAAAGAACACTTGATGTATAAATACATAATTTAAAATCAACAATTATACAGTTCTGTAAACTCACATTCTTTACTCCTAAGTGTTCAGGAGTGCCGACAATTCTCACAACGCATATGTTATCTAAAACCTCATTCATATGCGTGACATTTGACAGATCCGCCAACTTATGTATCTGACTTCTTGATAATGTAATTGGTCTGTGGTAGTACTGGAATTATTTCATGACTGTAACTGATGTATGCGAACGATTGTCAATGAGGCACATGTGTTGCGGAAGATGACAAGATGAATACATAAAGGGAGAGTGAAAGTAGAGTAAGAAGAAAGAAGCGAATATCTCGAACATATGTATGCGTTTTTCACGTACCTTCTCATTCCGGAATAACGTTCGTGTAACAGTGTTCGAATTAACTACAAACGGTCCAATGAAAAGCAGAAAAATTTTTAAAAACATGTTGTACATGGTCAAGCGTTCTCGCAGATTCGTGGTCGACTGAATACCACGAAGCATCCATTGTACTACTTAAATCAACGTCGCCATTTTGAATACACATCCACGTGATCGATGTAACCCTTCCTATTTCTATTGGTTGAAACCGCAAACAATTCGTTTATTGGCCAATTTTTCTCCATATTTAAAATGCTTTCAGACGCGTAACGGTCACAAACGATGCGTACATCGCGGATTTCATGCATGCACAGCGTATAGCAGTTCAGACTTCAATAAAAAAGGTAAATAAAGTTCTAAAGACCTACATTTCGTTTAGAATTCTACGAAACTCTCACTAAAGTGTACGAATTTCAGTTGGATTTGAGTTTCTGTAGTCTGTAAAAATCTGTATTTACATAAACATCCGTAGTCTAACGCGAGCAAGCATCTACGCATTACCAGTACCCGTTTTATGAATTCAAAAGTAACTCATGTATGCGAAGGGAATTTCAGTGGATAGTTATTCATTGAAACTACAGTGTAAGGATCAAACCGGTTCAGTTTTATGTGCCCAGTTTTCAACGAGAGAAAAAACAAAAGAGCTACAGTGGGATGGATGGGTGAGTGAAAGAGAATCGCTTGTCTGTAACGTATCGAATATATTAAACAAGTTTTCAACGATACGTCGCATCGTTTATAGTACATAAAGGGTTAGGCTTTTTTTTCGAAAACATTGAACTTTACACAATCGCCTTAATGTTTTCTTCGATAAAAAATGAAGTTCGTGTAAACAAAGAATTATACTTACATTTAGGGTACTCTTAATTCGCCTAACTTACGATAACGGTCCGACAATTCGAACGTTACATCGATGAACGGAACGTAAGACGGAGAATAGAGGTTCAAGTCCGATTTAATTTATTTGCTCAAAGTGATATGTGTATATAAAGTAACTGAATCATCTCTTTTTTTCCTTAACCTGTTAACCGGGGAAGACGAGTTAACTCGTCGTTCGTGTTGCGTTAAATTTATCAATTTTCTTGTTTTCTCGTTGGCCTAAACTTGGACACTTGTTCGCTCGAGTATGTTATCTTTATTGACGCATTTATTGTACGTACATGTTCGTTCATGCTCATAGAGCTTACCCGTTTAACAGGTTAATACCTTACGTAAAAAAAACCGCAATAAGATGTCTTACAAATTGTCGTTATTATAAAAAAAGAAACGAGGGGGAGAAAGACAGAGAGAATCTACACGTTAGAAAATCTAGCGAGTCGATGACGCGAATCGTTTATATGATACGAAATATTTGCGAATGAAACGATGCACCCATTATACGCTTTCTGCCATCCGAACTGACTGACGGATATTTCTCTTGCACCATGTTGCCGAATTTTTCTAACGATGATTTCTACTCGATCCGACTCGGATCGATAAACGAAAGTTTCACCGCGATACAAAACACACTTTCTTCTTGATCTTCTCATTCTAATCGTACCCAGCATTCAACTGTCAACCATTGATTTCACTTTAATATTAATTGCCATACATCGTCGAATCAACGAACGCTCTACGCGCGCATATAAACTTGTAAAACAGAGAATAGGACGTTTTATTTGAGCAGTGTTGCCAAACGAAAAACGTGATACCTTAAAACGAATCGCATTAGAAAATCAACGGCTTGGATATTAATGGTTATTTAATTGCATTGTCATTGAACATTTCCTGTTCAATTGAGAAAGATCACGTAGCCAATCAAACGATCAATTAACTGCTCCACGTTCGAAACACTGTTATCATTATAGTTATTATTATCATTATCAGTAATACCATTAACTATCTTATTATTGTCCTAGCACGGTCAGCACATACGGAGAATAATACAATACAATTATTAAATTGGAAAAATATATATATATACAGAGCGGACTATAATTCATGGTGCAGTGCCTCTCAATGATAGGCTCGAGGTAAACAAAACCACGTGACTGTCGTAACTGCGGATATTAGCAATTATCAAACGATTTATTAAAGGAGCTACGGATTCCAGTAAAAAGTATTGCGGTAATAACGGTGCTGGGTTTAACGCAGCGGATCATTCAATAGAAACGAAGATAATCATCGGATACGGTAATATTGTAGTATATTAAAACGGCGAGCGAGCGGTTGTTGTTGTTTACATCAAGAACGATAACTAACGCCACAAATCATTGGCATGCTTCGCACTATGAACTACAGGCAATCCCCTGTATAAGATTATCTCAGTTCTAGGTAATAACGCGGCCTTTTTGAGCAACTGTCTCTTTCGTGAGTCGAACTGAATGCCGTTTCGAAACGATCACGTGCCAAACGGGATTCCCGCCGAGCGAGAAAGGCGCGTCGACGATCATGGGTCCCGCCAGTGTGCGCACCAGAATGTCCGTAAAGTAACTAGATCTAAGATAAATGATGATAAATTATGTCTAGGGCGGGACCTAAGGTCGTCTTAGTTATATTCCCATTTTCTTCGTTCGCGCGGGAATCGGTTTGAATCGGGCTCCAGAGTCTTGGCTGTTAAGTTATTGTGCCTCGTTCGTTTCCATCGTATTTATTATATATATATATATTTATATATTTATCGTTTTATCGTTTCCCTGGGAAACGTCGTTTGCCGGATACCATTTTGTTCGTTTCGAGCACGTTCATGGGCTCCTCGAGACTCTTTCCTCTGTCAGCGCATGATGATGATGATGATGATGATCCACTTCAGTAGTTGTATGGTCCGTATTGCGATCCATGATAATACGGTCCTGGATACGCCGCAGGAGCCGGGTATCCAGCGTACGCGTATTGTTGCTTCTGTGGGTATACTGGAAATTTATGTGAACACGTTAGTACGGTCGCTTCGTTCCGCCGGTGGTTCTTAGCCTGCGGGTAATTATGCCTCTGCCGTGCCAACGAATTATTATTATTAATCATAGAATGCTTCGCTGTGTTTCAGAAACTGTTTATCTAAACTCATAGGCCCTAGATACTTTATCTAAAGTGCGCGATGGATGGAAGCGGTCTTGGGTATTGACAGAGGTATATACAGGGTGTTTTACATAATCTTATATTTTTAAGAAGAACTAGAGTATTTACGATACGGCGATTTTTCCGATAGCTTTACTTTTAAACCTTTCTATTCGATTCGATGTTCCGAATTTGAAGTCCTCGCAAGTTGACACCCTATATGCTTCTTGTTACAGAAGATAAGGCTAAGAACCACTATGATGCGCTCTAATCTCATTTATCAAGCAATTCAATTACTGTCTCCACTCGTATTGAACCATACTCTTTCTCAGTCTCATAAAACGTTCGTATAAGTCCGATTTGAGGTCCATGGATTCTATTGAAAAAATCTCGTCTTGCAGGCATTCGAGACTATCGATGATACTTTGTTATTTTCTCGTGCGAGTTAAAGCGTACTCGATTATTCGCCTTCGCGTAGGACAACGGAAGAATGAAATTAGTTTAATGCCCCGTGGCATCTATTTAGGCATTGCTGCAAAGGGGTAATCAAGCCTATGCCGCGAACTGTAGCCTGCGCTGAATACTGAGGCAAAATTAGGCAAGTGTGTCGCTTTCGACGAATTTTCTTGAAAACTATTCGCGGATCCATTACTCGACGATTTCCGGTTATCAGTACCGGTGTTGCAAAAATCATCGAACCGAACAGGATGTACGGCGATTCTAGACCCCCGCTAACGAAGACCCAAATTAGCGGAACAACTTCTCTTCGACGTGTTCTTCGATGAAATTAATCACAAGCCTGGCAACTTCGCGAGGATAAGGGGACCTCGAAACGATCTCAAGAACGTAAGATAAAGTACCGTTTAGAAGACTCGTAAAGGAAGATTATCGATCATCGAAGCATACCGTACTGTCTCTAGAAAGTTTCCCGCAGGAGGATAGCGTGACAGAATCGTTCTAATCCGCCGCTGGAAACAGAGCGTGAGAGCCGAGTAAGAGTTTTGCGAGGGCGAATAATCGAGCATTCTTTTTTTTCTCACGTCGAGAGATGTCAGTCCCGATTCGCGTGTCCCTTCATTCTCGATCTGTTCAACGAGCAAGCAACATTCCACCTGGGCGTCACAGTCGGCCAGTACTTTATGTACAGTTGATTACGTCCTCAAAGTCCTCTAGTTAAGATGTTAAAGAAGCGAGCAACGTTTCGTCTCGTTTTCTTTCATTCCTCTCTTAAATGGTACTCAGATTAGTTTGGCTTTCCTTTTGTTAAGTCTATGTATTACTCGACCCAGAAATCTAATGTAATCTCATTCTCGTTTAATTTCGGTATTCAACAAACGGGGCTTATTGGTAGTCTACGTAATAAGGGAGCAACCGTACGAACTGCAATGGAACTCTGAATACATCGTTACAGAAGCAATTCAAGGAACAGCGATACTTCGAAGGATTTAGCGCGCAAGCGAGAAGCAATTAATCGAATACTTTTCGAAGGCATCATTTTCCGGCGCACTCCGAACGCATGGTGTAATTTTCCTGCATTCTAGACCGGCGATTTCTACTTTACGTAATGATTAATTAATTTCGTGTATCGGAGTTTCTGTAATATTGCTTCCATATCAACCGTCTCACATGGATTTCTATTACCTGAACTGATTCGAGTTAGTGGAATGTCATTTTCGGGGTCAACCCAGTAATCATGAATCATAGTTAGTGGAACACGGTGTGCGCGCAGACTTCTGTTTTATCGTTATCATCTTTCTTACTAATTTTCTCGACGTACTGTTAATAATATTACATAGTACTGCTTCTTCATACAAAGTCCTTGCAACAGTGCTAAGTGTACAAGTTCCTTTTCTATTGTACACCACCTTTCAACCCCCATTTCCAAGGACAACTTGACCCAGAAAATTTCTTCGAATACGAACTTTTACGAACTAAATCCGATTCGCCAAGTCGATCAATTGGATTTCACGGTGGATCACAAGTCTGCGCGCGCGGTCCGCGTTCATGGCGAAAGCAAATCGGTGTTAAATATGTACCAGGCATGAGGTACTGCATGTTCATCGCCTCCTCGCGCATTCTCTCGCCCCTCAAGCAAATCGCCGCGGCGCTAAACAAGATCGCGCTGACCAACGACCAACCGACGCCGACCCAAGCGACCACGTACGACCAGTCGTACGAGATTAGTGAGTTGTCCTTCAGGACCTGGGATGTGCACCGGTCGCGGCGCGCGGTTCCGAGAAAAACAAAAAAGACAAGACACGGGGGAAGTTAGTCCGGTCGTTTCATGGTTATCGTGTCACCTGGCATGATGTACTGAACGTTCTGTGCCTGTTCGCGGGCATGCTCCCGCCGCAGGCAGGACGCCGCGATCAGGAATAGCGTCATCGTGCCTAAACACGTCGCCACCCCCAGCCAGGCGAGATAAAACGACCAGCCGTACCACTGCACCGCGTTGTCCCTTAACACCTGCGGGCAAATTTCTTTATATAAACATTTCCGATTCGCCGGCCGTGGGCTCTCTCGTCCTCCTCCTTTCCTGGCTCATCCGGATGGCTGATGGATCCTTCGACGAATTAGACTGTCTCTAAGGAAAATCAAAATCCTGTGCCTGTGTCCCCTCGGGATGTCGTTACACTATAGACGCGTGAACTTCTTGTCTCGTGGCGAACTTCTTGTAATCGATCTCCGACGGACCTAGAGGATTAATCGACTGCGAATCTTCACGCGTTAGTTCTAGTTAGAGTTTAATATGATTCAACGTCATTCCTGAGTCAGTGGAACTATCGTGCTCCGCATTCATCGATGAAAATACGGATTTGCATAAACATGCTCAGTCTAGGAAGGAATGCATTAATGGAAATGAAACAAGTAGACATCGGTTTGATACTTTCTCTATGGACATTTTACGTGGAACGGTGTTGCAGAAGAATGTCTAGTTTCGCTGAAAAGCAGGATGATCCGCCGTTTTATGTTCACTGCGACGAGAAGAAGCCGTTCGAATGGATTTTATGGAGGGACGATCACTCTCGCGATTAGTTCATCTTGCCTCCCAGCGAGTGAACGGTGTTCAATGATTTTTAAGTCAGTGTTCGAGTCCCGGTACCAAGATCGTTACCCTAAGCACATGTTAATTCGACAGGTAACGAACTTTTCGTCTGGTATTTAGAATTACGTGCAACTTTCTAAGTTACACAAGTCCGTCGCAAGTGCTTATCGCATCTTAATCGACTTATTAATAGATACCGGAAGTCCTCGAACATTGAAAATACTGGATAAATGTCAATAGTCAGCGCGTTTCTAACCGGTATGTATCGCTAGGTATCAAACACTTATGTCCATCGAGCAGTTACTTTGATTATTGATTTAATATAATAGTCACTCACGTTGCTCCATTGCTGGTAGTATTCTTCGCCGACGATTTTCTCTTTCTCGTAGTATTCAACCCCGTGCCAGAGTCCCATCGCGCTAGCACTTAGTAGACCTAGATCATTCAGAGATCACCACTTTCAAATGCGTTCGAAGGAATGTATTTCAAGAGTTAATTGCTGTGAAGTATTTCACTTGATTACTTTAATTACACTAGGTTCGTAGAGAGTATTACGTTATCGAGTGTTACTGACATGCGAGCAGCATCAAAATCGCGGTCGCCGTGATGTTTCCAGGCGACCTCTTCCAGCAGCCCACTACCCCTGTCCAGAAGGCAGTGAAGATCGCGACGAATCCTACTATAAACAGTGCTATCACTGATCTGCCCATGTCTGAAAAGTACCAAGAGCGACGAGTTAATATTTCAATTGCGAGGATAGAAGGATTGAGCATGTTTCAATTCGTATCACTTACGAAGTCGAGTCATGGCATCATCGGAGAAACCTCTCGTCAGATTCTCCTCGTCGGGGATGAAGTAGTTTACGTTCATGCAGTGCGTCTCCACTGGGCTCAGATACGTCTGAACTGCAACAGTGAACAATAATTGTATTGACCATTGTATTCTATATCATTTCGTTGCGTATTTTCTCGCATTTTTCATTCAGCTAATCAAATCGCCGAACGAGGTTTATGGTGAAAAGTGAAACGATTGGTCGGCACTGAATCGGGAGACAATAAAATCGTAGCAGTAAAAACGTTCGGGATACCATTGACACGGCGAGGGCATCACCGGAAACGGCGGGGCAGCCGTAAAAGCCGCTTGAATAGAGTGTAAAAATCGTTCGAATATTTTTGCGGTCTTATGGCCATTGTTACTGCCACAACCACTTTCACTCGCTATTCACAATTGAATTGTGAATTAAACAAAATTCCTTCGATGGATTTTACAAAGGATTTCGCGTCGGTAGCCCGCGAGCAGGAGAAATTCGATCTGTCGTTCGTTTCGCAACCTATTAGACACGCGCGCGGTTCAATTCGCTGAAATTAAACCATGCCGATGGCGAATATCCATGACTGACTAATTAGCAGCTAGGTGGCTCGGAACTCTTTGAATTGGCGTTGATTTTTCGCAACTTACACGGATCTCCGAGCAACGTACACAAGTTGAGCATTCGAATAACTAATTCTCCGCGCGTGGCAAGTCAGGCTGCACCAAAGGTAGCTAAGTTCTGCATGAAACGATCATTTCTCTTTTACCATTCTTTATCGCAGCCTCAACGAGATCTTCGTGCTTGGCTTACTGTTCAGAGACTTTGCCACGAAAAGTGAAATTCTTCGAGACTTTCTACCTGTATTTCCTCTCCCAGATCTGTATAAATTATGAATCTGCTCGAATCAGCGATCCAACGATCGCTGTATGCAATAACTCTCGACTTTCCAGTTTCCGTTTCATTAAGCGGATCCCTCCGATTTTGTCGGATTTCCGTGGTATCCGGGCGGCGGCGTGTTAACGCAGCCCGGTGCAGGCGCGCGTATCGAAAAGCACGTGACCCAGAATGCAACGCGGTATCTACCGGCGCGGCGGTAGCAAAGCGTGTGTGTACATAACTCAGAGCCGGCCGGTCGTTGTCTTTCATGGGCAACGGTACTCATTGGCCATTCCTAATCCACGAAATACTACTTTCGAAAGACATTTCGCAGCCAGGTGAAAAGAAAAAGTCGCGCGTGCGAGCCGCCTAATGTCGCGATGCTTTCACGGTTTCCTGTCTTTCTCGGAATCCCGACAGAGAAAACTGCAATCGGATTAATTGCGCGACGAATAGCGACCGCAGCAGCCACCACCGTCGCCGCTGGCCTTCTCGCTTTGCTACTCTTCTTTTCCCTTCAACGGCGAATCACAACAAGACTCCCATCAATCGCACGCCGCTGTTCCATTTAATGGTCCGGCATGGTGAGTGAATACGAGAGTGTCCCGATCATTGTTCGCTGGTTTGTTCACGGGCTCGTGATGCTTTACGGGGCAGCGGAAAAAATATGGAACACTCTGCGGGGATCCGTCGTGTCGCGTTGTTTTAAGAGAAAGTCCGTGAACTCCTTCGGAATAGAGAGAAGACGCTTTTAAAGTGTCCGAGGCACCGATTATCGAGGTATATTGGACTTCAGAGTATCGTTGTTCACAGATTCCAGTAACGTGTACGAGGTCAAACTGGTTCTCTATACAAAAGGATTAACACTGGAATCACCGGATGATCTGATTTCTTCTTTCATAGTTGCTGGAAAGACGACAGATGATTCTCCGAGGAAATATTTCAGAAATTAGTTTCACAGCACGCAAACTGAACGATAAATCTGTTGGAATCTCGATAGACGCGCTTTGAGAGTTTCTACGAGAAAATTAGGAAAAGGCAGCTCGATTGTTCCAGTATTAAATATCTTCCGGAGAAAATAAGAAGAAGTCTTTGTTTCAGAAATTAGACGGTTCGCATGGACGTTTGAAGTAGTTAAACGAGTGGCTTAGCAATCAGAACAACGGCACGCTGTCACTAGGCCTCGCCAAATGGCCCGGCCCCACGCCGATGGCGGGGGATGCGTCGCGCAAAGCCGCGTACCGTTTGAAATATTTGACATTCAGCCGGTGGCACCCGTTTCCCCGACCTTCTTCGAATCTAGTTTCGCCTAAACGAGGCGCCATGCCAAGATCGTTGACTCGCCGGCTAACTGTACACCAGTTAAGAACCGGGGAATGCCATTCAGGAAGAGGAACCGTGGACTCGTAGGATCTGACTCCTTCCTCGGCCCGACGCGACTTCGTAATTACAAGCGGATAAGAGGGACAAAGAGAAAATAAAGGAACGGGTAAAAGCGACGGAATATAAAAATTCCTCGAAACCGGTCGTTGGCTGGTTTCTTCAAATTTTTCACGCGTGCACCGGCGATGGCGACGGCAACGCGCGCGCGCGCGCTCGCGCTTCTTCGCCCGCTCGCTCGCTCGCTCGCATACACCTGACCTCCATTTCGTAGGACCATGTAATGAATATTTCGCTGCGGAGCGAAGCGCCGACCTCGAATCCGCGTTCGATTCAAACTCGGTTGCGTTAGAGCGCATTGATCAAATAATGCTCGGTCATGTTCCTTTTCTTTTGCTTTTTAACGCGCTGCCTGTCGGTAGCTCAGTTATTCCTTTGCGAATCGAAGATTGATAGCTAAGGAGTCCTTTATCGGTTTTGAAATAGCAACAGTAATTGTAAATCCTTTCTAATAACGCAACGAACAGATTTTTTAAGGTGTTACCGTTTAAAGGAGAATTATTAGCCTGCTTTCCAATGCAATACAGACTTCGAGGAATATATTAATTGGCTTTCGGTAACTAAATTCCTAAATTTTGAAGGTAGCTTAGCAGTTGCTTGTAAAGTGGATGTATTATGTTTTACGATTTGATTTATTATTATAGTTGAGTAATGTATTTTGGATTTCGAAGTTCGGCTACATTTTAATAGAGATTCGCGTGTAACGGTACAGAAAGTGGCAGTTCATTCGATTGGCCGAATCAGTGGCTGAATACGGGTGCTCGGCGACAAGGGAACCTTCTTTTCGTTCTATCGGGACCAACGGCCGCTCACGTACGCTAAATAAATCAAACACGAGGCGGAAGAGGAACGCCGGAAGCAAACGGAACGTCGAACGCCGATAAGGAGCTTCGCGGTCGAAGAACGGTACAAGACGATACACGCGTCGTATCGATAATTTCGATTGTTTTCCGGCCGAACGACGGGAACAATGTCCACCGTTGTGTTCCGATTCTCAAGAATCTCTCGGCGCCTTTCTATTCAGCGGCGGTTCATTCATCATTTTTTTGCAATCTTCGATCTCGCCACCGTTTACGCAAATTAGGTACGAGGCTGTATTGTCTGAGGCGGCTAGAAAATTGCCGATAGCTGAGAGCTTTTCTAGAGGATAATGCCGGGGATTTTCACTTAATCGAGGAACACGTACAACGCACTGCATTAATCCTCGATTCGGCTTACAGTACTCTAACTGTAGAAAGTCTTCAGGCATTTAAGAAAATCGTACTTATTAGTAAATATCTCAGTTTATTACTACACGGTCATCGTGCTAACTTTATAATTAGAGACAAAGAAAATAGAGTATTTACTTTTCCTTGGCAAAATCTGTCACTGCTACGGTCAGAGCAAAAGAAAACGTACATATTCAGTTTTTCTCGGTAAATACTAGGAGCCCATTGAATCCACTTGCTCCGAATGGTAACAACGTCGCGCTGAATGCTATCTAGCTTCGTAATAAAAGGTTGTACCCTCGACGCGAGGCAATAGGACGGCTCTTCCCCCAAAGGATACAGGTTCCTCGTGAAACTCGAGACTTCCGGACAAACTGGAACCGCCGTTACCGAGCGGGGAAGTTTAGAAAACGTGCTCTCCTCGTGAGAAAATACGAACCTTTCCGAATAATGGCTCCGTTCAGCGTTCGGCACTCGGCTAGGAACGCAGGTGAATGTACACGCGCGTTGATAGAACGGTAGTCGGTTCAATCCTGTGCCTGTACTTCCTGCTCGTAGCTGAATCGCAACTTTGTTGCACTGATCGAAGATACCGATAGGCTCGGAATGATGTGCATAGTCCAGAACGTGTTCTACTATTAGCTACAAACTTAGACACCAACAGAAAGACACGTGCATTGGTTACTGAAGGGGATGAAATTGAGAATGCTTCGAAATTCTAATCGATTCCGATCATTTCAATACGCTCCTATATCCGCAAGGCGACCGGCTACAGTTCGAACCGACAAACTCAAAATGAAGACACAACATCCATGACACAATGAACCATAAATGCGCACGGGTCTTCGTCGTCTGCATAATTCAAATCCTGCCACTTTGTTTACGGCAGCCATGAATATACACCTAGGAATAGCTCAGGTTGATTGCACGCGCAGGTGCGGCCCGTTGATTCGATCATACGCGTTACGCGGTTTGCATAATGTTATCGCCGCCTTATTGTTGTGTCTGGGGCCCTCGTCGCGCGAACATCTTGGCGCGATTTAACGGGAGGATTCTTATTTTAGAGTCGATCGTTCGACGAACGCGAGATTCCAATCGTTCGTTTACTTTACAGCCGAACACGCTTTATAAACGTGCCACTCGTCCCGTTTATGGGGACTATACTTTCAGCGGACCGCTGAAATGATCGCGGCCGCGTTCCGCGCACGGCGAGGATCATCCGCGCGTTAGACGCGCGAGGAATGATCTCGGTATTCGGATCACTCTCATTGTGCGCGCGGCCGAGACTGGGAAACGTTCGGCTCTTTATCGCGAAGGTGATGCACTTGGCTCCCTTTCACGAGCACGGTTTCTTTTATTATGCAAACGCACTTTCCATTTGTACAACTATTGTGCCTGGTCTCCCGTGTGCTCAGTCCAATGAAAACCGAAGCGAGCGTGGCTGAAAATTCGGTGAAACTCGGTTTCACTTTAACGTCCTTGCTCTTTCTCGATGACAACCACCATTGTTCTCGTAGTTTTCCCTTCTGAGTTACTCTGTCTCGCTTGGAGCGCGTCGTTCGCGCGAATTTTCAGAGACAACGTTCCGATAATGAAACGATGAGAGAACGTGTTCCCTTTGTCGAGGATTCTTCTATCGAGCCCAGATACACGTCGAACGTTAACTATGTTAATGCTGGCTGCATTCATACATTCGCACGTGCAACATCCGCGATTCCCTCGTTAGACGTAACGGTAGTACGAGAAGCTTAGAACACGAACAGTGAAAAAACAGTAGAAACGCGGTTGTGAAGGTACTATTTAAATATTCTAGGGAACTTTTCTATTCGTTGTATATATCCGAGCCATCTCTGACCTTACGTTCTCGATTATGAAATGAATTATACGTACATCGCTTCATTACCTCCTTCAAATTACTTCGATGTTTTCACTTTCTCGGAGATACTGGTCAACGCTCTCTCGGCAAGATTGCCGAAGTTCACGCGTTTCACTGTACGTTTTATCAAATCATCCAGCCGACTGCCGTTAATAGAGTTTTCATTGACTTGTAACCTTACGTTAATTATATAATTGGAATGTGTTACCTAACACGAGCCGCTGATTCAGGATTGAAATTGCTATCGTTCGGTCGCGAATTTCTTCTGGTTGTTCCTCGAATCATTCGCGTTGCACCGAGAGGCAGGTGGTGCGAGTTTGCCGAGGCGTTTCCACGCGTCATTATCGTAGAAAGTTCAACGGAAGAAAAGGTGTAGCGAGCTCACGGTCGTTATACAGGTGAAATTAACCAGAAACCTTTCCGCGACAGATCCGCGATCGCATCTCTATCCGAACGCGTTGACTACCGGAAGAACCTTCGGCATCCTCTGTCACTTGTTTTTTCGTAGCAAAGATAAATAGCTAAACATTCAAAAACTCGCGTTTCAAGTGTACCGCTCACTTCGAGACGAACGAAAAACACGATTGATTCGTTTCGAATCAGAATCTCGCGTCGGAGTCTCTTATCAACTGAACATTCCGCGTCCGTTCGCTGTTTTTCTTCGGTCATCTCGCCGTCGGCAAACGTTTTTCAACGCGGAGGAACCGCGAAGCTCCGCGATGTCGGTGATAAAACGCAATTACAATCGCAACGGTCCAGTTAGCGAGCTAACGCCGACGACGGCGACGAGTTTCGCCTCGTAAAAACGTTTATGGGGGTTCCTCTCGATCCTGTCGCGAATTAAGTAATTCAAAGTGTTCACGGTCTAACGGTGGCCGGGTACCACGGGCAAATGCGACTTTAATATCATGCCCGGACTATTCCGCTGACAAAAAGATCGAGTTCGCCTACGATTACCGCGGGACGCGGAATTCACCGCGATTCGCGAACCGATAGCGGGAGAACCTGTTCATCGTTAATAGGTCCTAGTTGCCTTTTATCTCTCATTCCGCGAATCACGCCGGCCCGCTGAACGTCGCGAATCCACAGGTTCTGCGAGAAGAGGATCCAAGTCTGGGTCCGATAAATAATGAAATTAATTTCCGGAATGTAGATTTATCGGGTGAACCACGCGTGAAGCTAACGCGTGGAAGCTAGGTAAAAGACCCTGATTTTCAGTTATCCTAGGAAATCGTGCGTGTCAGTCGAGAAGAGCAGTTAACTGCGTGGTACACTTATTACTTCGTGTCATGGAAATTGATTACAGGAACCACACTGCTGAAGCATTTCTTGTTCCTTTCGGCAAACGTGAAACTTCGGAGAGTCATTTCTGAAATATTCCGCAGAGGTATCGGTGTCACGGAAAAACTCTAAAGATTCAGCGGTATTGCGCAACGGTTTCAACCGTAAAAGATAATTTCAATGAATGATAGTGGGACCGCAAACTGTTAGGTGTTCCGCTGGACAAAAACTCGAGTCTGTGACGGGGAACGCCGAGGCGAGCGAATTCCTAGAGATACGGAAGACGCGTCTCCCTGGACCATCGCACACACGCGAGCAATTTCGCGGGGCATTTCCTTTCTCTGCGTGCAGCCGAGTCGGCGATTTTCAACTCTTAACCTATTACGTGGTCGATGGATAACCCGCGACATTACGGTATCGTAACGTAGAAAGTCTCGGTGCAGCATCCGCGATATTATCCGCGTTCGACTGGAGATCTCGTCAGTCGGGTTTTCACGAAATTAGCCTCGCAGAGTTGGCCGTTAATGTCCTGTGTAATTATTGACTGATTGTTTATCGAGTAGAGATCCTGTTAGTCGGGTTCTCTCGAAATTGACTTTATGGAAATTGGCCAGTGATACGTATGAGATTACCGTTGAATTATTCGTCGAAGAGAGACCTCATTAGCCGTGTTCCCTCGAAATTATTTTTACAAACCTGATTATTAATATTTATGAAACCGTAAGATTATTCGATTATTCATTGAACGAAATAATGGATTTTTCTGCTTACCAGTGGGCGGCCTTTCTTTGGGATAGCATATCCTGAAGAGACCCTGCGTCCTCGTGTAGTAATAGTACTTCGTGTTCATTTGCTCCACCAAGTGGCTCTGCTCGGCATGCTTGGCTGCATATTGCTGCAATAGTACAATTTATCCGAATGATTCACGGTGTTAGCGAACCCTTTCCTTTTATACAGGTGAACCGCGCGTAACACGGTGGCTAAGTTCCAATGTGAAGCGTATTACGTGAATTTTATTAGAGACATCATGAAACACGTTGGTATATTAATATTAAGTGACCATATCAATTATCCAACGTTCTCGTCGTTAATTGTTGAAAACAAGATTTCAAACGCACGCGCGTCGATGAAAAACCGTTGAACTCTCGCGATGAATGCTTCGTTCAGTTGAAAATCATCGAAAGGGGAATCAAAAGCGAGTCGGACCGGCGAACAAAGTGAACGGTGATTTCGAGCGCAGATGAGCCGCGAGTAGTTCGCCTTATGGTAATATTATGATCGTTAGAAAGTGGGAAAGTAACGATTGCGAATCGTTCCCGTCGTAATGGCCGCGGGAGGGGATACACGAACGTGATTCCCGATTGAACCACCGCGCCGGGCCTCTTTGAAAGCAGCTGAGAGAACCGTCAGCGAATAAATTACAGGAAATTAGTCGCGAAACGTGCCCGGTCAATTTCAGGAAGCCGCGGTTTTCACAACTCGGACGGAATTTATTCGTCGTAATCGCGTTGCCTACCGATAACCGTCCCGTCTTTTCGATATCGACAGCTGGAACGGTCCCAGCCGTCCATCACGAAACCCTTTCTGCCTACTCAACGAATTATCCGCCGGCAGTTACTGGCCAGCTTATTGAAAATTAATAATCAATGGCCAGGAATTTCTTGATCAAACTTTCAACGGCAAGAGCGGCTGCAATCCTGAGTCGGCCGATCATTTGCAAATTATCAGCTTCTCAATGTAAGACCCTAAGCCATTGAAGAGGCTATTAACATTAGAACTACCGAGCAGTCGAATCGATTGCTTTTCATTCTTGTGTAGCAGCTATGAAATTGAATTTATTAAAATATCAAATGAAACATTTGGACACGTCTGCTAGATCCAGTTTAATCCTGTCGATAGTATTCAGTTTCGTGGATAAAGCGTTAAGCGTCAAGCCCCTAGAAATCGTCCAAGTTCCTTTGGAGGTTGCGCGTTCAGAGCAGAAACGGAAATTGCGGAAAGAAGGGAAACCGTGCTCGCGTTACGAATTTTCAGTCGTGAACACCGCTTCCTGAAGAAACGAAGCCCAGCTTAGAAGGAGGCCTGGAGAGCGCGTTTACTCAGCCGTGTCGGCTCAAGTTCCGGACTTTCTTACGATCGAGGATGCACCTAGCACGCCGCCCTCGAAATTAAATGTAATTTCAGATCCTCCGCGACAGCCGGTGCATCGGATCCCGGACAGCAGAACCGTTCTCCTGCACTATGAGAATCCTTCTACAGACACTCGCCCGTATGGAAACTAGTTTCTGTTTTTCCTTTCTTACACGCGTTTCTCTATGGCTTGCCTCCCCTATTCCCACGCGTACTTAGGTCCCGAACAGATTGTGCTCCTAACATTGTTCGATTGTTCTTAAACGTCGCTTTCGCGTCCTTTAGAGTGGAGGATCTGGATTGAGGAATAGAGCTCTCTAAACTGGCGAGTCTCGGTATAGACTTACGCGCGGATTCAACCGATAGACCTTAGCCTAGGTAGATGCATAGATTAGACAGCGCATTTTAGTCTAGATAAGTGGCGGCAGATGACTGTTCTCATGTTGAACGCTTACGTGTCTTTAAGAATAGAGGATGTAGGCTGAAGAACAGGCGGGATACACGCATAGATTCGACGCGAAGATTTTAGCCTAGATGCACAGATTAAACGACATATTGTAGTGAAGATAGGTAAAAGTAGATGAACATGTCACAGTCGACAAAGATTCTCAGGCAGAGGTAATTTAAAATGAGTGTCAGGGAACTGCCGCGGGGACACTGCTCCAGTGTCAACACGACTAACGCACTGTTTAATCTGATAGTGTTTTCCCGAGCCGACAACTCTTTATTTACTCCCCGAACAATTAACACACTTCACCGGGGACACGAGCGAGAGTGTACGTTTGAGAAAAAGACAATTGAAAGCGAGCCGTGCGACATCGAGCCTGAGAAAATTGTCCTGCGAGGTGTGGTCCCGCATTGTGAAAGAAAACGCTGTCGGCCGGCATTTTGCAGCCCCGTGACTCTGTACCGACGAGAAACCGCAAAAGAACAGGCAAGAAGCAGAAATTGCCGGCGATTAGTTTGAATATTGATGGATCGTTTCGAACGGGGTTCTTTTTTGTCTCTCCTTTTTAATCCACGTTTCAGCGACTCGTTAATTAAATCGACTCGTCTCGATGAATCTGTTCCATGGCCTAGTTGCGTCTCATTAAGAAGATGCCAGGAATCCGGTTACCTAATAAGCTTCGCCTGTTCGTCCTCGTCTCTTCGACCCTTAACCGGCGGTCGTTGAGCAACGCGCTAATTATTCGCGACTCCTTGTTCCGAAGATTACCGATCCACCTTAACGGGGGCAACAGTGTTGCTTAAATCCACCGTGAACGCGTGCTATCCTTGCGGTCTCGAGCGTGCCGTAGTTTTCCAGAGACCTCGTTTTATCACCTACCATGATTCTATAATATTTTAATGAATTCAACGAGTCCCCGGTTTACTCCAGTTTTCGTGGAACGTAAAAATCAGTTGCATAAACAGCATTCCATTCGTCGGTGCACGTAATAATAGAACGAGGAACTAACTTTATAAATATACAAGAGAATGTACGGGAATGCTTGGAACGAGAAACGAGAGATATCTGTTTGTCTCGTTTTTCTCTGTTCACGTTCCTTTAGGTCTGCAGGTTCTCGCATCGATTAAGTTTCACTTACGAACTACGTTAATTATATCATCACTATACATCATCATTAGCGACGCTTATCTAATACCACACGTTTGCAACGGTGTTTCAGATTATACGAGACGAAGAAGAGGAACAGGGTCGAAGTATCGAGTACCAGGAACACCGATCCACACCGCAGAGGAGCTAAGCAACGGGGATCATCTCGGACTTTCAACGATTTTTCCGTAACCCGCTCCAGTAGCTGTGTCCACGTGTTTTGTCGCGTCCAGTAGGTAAGTTATCGCGCGACTCTCGAGTGTCGGCCTTGATCCTCGTGCAGGGTTGCGATAGAAACGCGACACGCTGGTCACCAAGCGAGACCGGGACCCGTTAGGAGAACGACGATAATTATTAGCCGTCGTCGGCCGGTGATCGTCGCATCAACGTTACCGTGGTCGAGGACGCTGTCCACGAACCCGACTGCGAGGGAAGTATATTGCATGCAGAAATCAATTCATTGGTATTTTAGGGTTTTCCTTTCTTGCCTCGAGAATGGTACGAAGTTATTTCAAGTAACCACGAATGTTTCAGGGATCGAAAGACACGATCTTTTGGGAATGGACGAATTATTTTGGAATAACTGAATTAATTGATATGTCTAACAACGAAATGTCACGATATCTTGAAGGCATAAAAAGTTGTCCAAAGTAATGGCGAATGTTTCAAGGACTGGTACGTCATTTTCTGGAGAGACGATGAAATTGCTTTAGAAGCGAATTGATTGGTACAATTTAATGATAAAGCGTCGTGATCTATCGATGGCCGCTTGACAATGAAAATACCTAATCGTATCCGCAGTCTCGTAGATGGAAAATGGATCGTGCTCGCACTCGGGAACCAAGCGGCGCCATTAGAACATGGATCTGAAACGGACCGTGGTAACACACGTTTCTTTCTGCGCTCGCGCGACTAAAGCGCGTGCCCGATGATTTCGCGGCCGACCTGCGGCTTATGTTGCACTTTCTACCGGGCACGAAGCTGTCCGCCAGAAAATCGACGAGGGACTTTCTAAGAAAATGGCACCGCTGTCGATGTCTCTTGGAAACTGTTGCCTATCCGAGTCTCCGACACTTTGAGTAACTAATAGATCCTATAGAAAGTCTTCGCGGATCGTTACTGCATTTATTTCACTTAATATTTCGTTCTCTATAAGGTCTGTGTAATCGAAAGTGCGGTTTCGAAGAACATTAGCGATTTCGTTGCGATAACAGTCGCTAATTAAGCAACGACGCGTCAGCAACGAGCGAGACGCGCGAGTGTCTTGAATGGAAAGATTGGTTCTTCAAAATTCTATCTACTCTTGTCAAGAGACATCGTATTTTACCTCAACATTTTGTTTCTTAAATCGTTAAAGTCGCTGTGTCTACACAATGAAAGTTAAACTACAGAGTAACGCGAAGCCAACAATCAGATTTGCTCATAATCAGATCGAAATAGTGGATCGATTGCAAATTCTCTTAGTCATCAAGGAAAAAGAAAAAAATTCTACCGATGGCGTCTATTTCGTGATGGGAAAATGAGACTACCAAAGCAGATAGTGTCGTTGACAATGGACCAGAAAGGAGAATGAAGAAGAAAGTCGCGTCCCCGCGTAGTAAACCCGAGAAACTCCGCGTCCCACGTTTTTCCCCGATCACAATGCGATAATCGGACGCTGAATGCTCGCGCGTTGCAAGATCTTCTTAACCTTGACGTACACCTATGCCTCCCGCTGCATTCTTCCCGGCGTACGCACGCTACACGCGATGAACGTTGACGACACCGCGTTTCGTTGTTTCGTTCGATCGACCGACCGATCAAGGCATTCCACGTCGAAGCCGATTTTACTCGTGGCTGAAAATTGATCGATCATCGATAAGATTTCAAGGCTTCCCACGAAACGCGCGATTTCCTTTCGTTTTCCACCTACTTTCCTGCCCGTTGCTAAATGAAGTTGCGTTACGAGTTTAATACGTGCGCTTATGGGAGCTTGGAGATTGTTCTGGGAGCATTTCGAAAGAACTTTTAATCGTAGTTCACGATTAAAACGATTTTCTGCTCGTCAGGGATTCAATCTTTTTTAAATAAGGACACTTTGTAGATACAAGATTTAATAGATTTCAATCTCTAATGTATCACGGCACTGCCGGCTTTCCCTAGAATCCGTGGCATTGAAAACGCCCCTAGACGCCGCGAAATCAACCGTGTTTCCGGTGGAATTGATCAACAGACGTGCGCAGCTGTATGCAGGATAGTCCACGCGACTCTTACAAGCGTGTATCGGCGATCTAATTGCGCTTGCCCCGAGCGATTAGAAAGAACCGTCTCGGGAAGCAAATAAACGATCCAGAGAGTACATTTTTAAGGCGATCCAGCTTTTATAATTGCAACGGTGCGCGTCTATTCAACAATTTCTCTAATACTTTGTGAAAAAGAGTTTTTAAAGTATCCAAAATCTTCAGCAAAGCGAGCTAAATTCGAGCTTGAACTCTTAAATGCTTCTTCATTGCATACAATTTCGTTTCGTCGCCCCAATTGCACACAATTCTTTATCCTGAGCTTCTTATATATATAATTTGGTTTATCCAGCCTTAATCATTCACACTTTTCCTTCACGATTCGTACCACTTATTGTACTTTATCTATTGCAACATTCAAACTTCTAATACTACTAATAATAATTCTAACAGCAATGTCTCTTTCTAACAATAATTCTTACAGTTAATATCTTTCGTTCCTCTAATTCTACATCTACATCTACTCCCTACTCCTACTGTCACTCTATCTCCCCTCGTCTCTTTTTTATTTCAACCCCTTTTTCAACCCTCCTATCTTTCTATCATTCACTGCATCCTCTAGTCTTGCCTATCCCTCGATCTCTCTACGATCTCTAATTAAGTACTCCAAATTGCCAGAACCTCCTCCACACGAGGATTTTCTTTCGTTCCCTTCCTCGCAAAATTTATTCCATATTTCCTAGAGTTCTCACTTTACTCGCAAATCATGAATCAATCCGTGTGTCCCGGGTCATCAGGTTAATCGTCGGTCAAGCGGTCGAAAAACGGCGAATGGCCCGTCTAGGTCTCTCGAGTCTGCTTTCACGTGGTTGCGTTTCGCCACCAACGCGAAGCTCGCGTTCGCCTCGAGCGCGGGAACGTCGTCCTGCCTCCGCGCGATTTCTTTGACATAGAAAGGAAAACGCGACTGAATGGGAATCGCGAGGTGGCTGGAAAGAGTGTTCCCCGTCCCCCCTTCGCGGCCGGGAGCCGATTGTTGCCGGGACCAACGATTTTTAGCGAACGTCCGGGGATCCTCGCCCGTCCGCGCGACACGCGGTGAAACGATCCCGCGGTAATTTGTGGAGAAACCCGGCATCGCGATGAAAGTGCGTTAATTGGCCCGAGAATATCTTACTTTTGCTTTTAATTCTTTTATTCCGTCATTTGAATATTCGTATCACCGCGCGGCTCGCGTTCCTCGACGCCGGCCGGCGAGCAGTTACGCGAATACCGGATGGTTCGTGAGCAATAACCGAGGATCATCTTCATTTTAACCGCCGCAATAATATTCTTCATAGAAGACTCGAGTGAATACGTGGTTAATAGATCAAGCATTGAAGAGAACCGTCCGGCAGGAAGCAAATTAGACCTGTGGCAATTAAAGTCCCTTAGGGAGGCGCGAGCGGATTAACTCGCGCGATCGAAGGATACGGGGAGAATGTACAGAAACCCGATACAAGCGAGTTTGAACGGACAATTTCCCGGATGATTTATGTACTTGTGTCGCAGTCGGCGCAATGTTCCGCGCAATGTTAACAACCTTGCGTATACGATAAAGCGCGAAATATGTAAGCGTGGGCGGCCACACGTACCGCCGCCATACGTCAACGCGTAGGTCGATAATCGAACGCGGAGGTCCCTTTTAAAAGTCAACTAAGATACGATCTTGACATAAATCGGGGAATGTCGCGCTCGAGACGACGGAGAAAAAATGGCCACTTCTTGAAAAAAAGAGAGGAACATGGAGTGTAAGAATTCGAGCAGAAAATTTCGGAAAAATTCACGGAGCTCGTCGAGCGACGTGCTTTGTATTTCCTATTATTTTAAATGATTAGAAAGCGTAGATAATTGCAGAAATATAATAAAGGTACTTTCGATATACCCGCTAAAGGAGTACGGACACCTTAAGTGTGGCAATTAGAAAATTTTCCATTATCTCATTCGCAAATAGAAGAACGCCGACAGCTTAACGCGCAGATCCACGAAAGTAATTAGAGGAGCAACACTTTCAATTCTCCCGGATCACCGATCTCCGGTTTACGTAAGCCGAGACAGTTCCACTCGATACAAAACGAGCCATAAATTAATCGAATCCGCGGCTAGAAGGAGATTTGCATCGCGAATTAATTTGCCGGGCGTGTATCCAGCACTTTTCGTCCCCCGCCCGGCACGACCGGTAAGCGGACGCACGGATTTCTAGAGAAAAAAGTGCACCCGTGCCGAGTTCAATGTCCTGCGAGTCGAAAGCGTTAATTGAGCGCGCCTTATCCGCAACAGATTCGTAAGAAAAGTCACCGTTCACCGGCGAAACTAGTTCCTAAATAACATTTCAGTTTCGCGAACCGCGGGGATAGGTAAAACGCCGACAACTTTCATTCCGATTTTTCAACACCCTTACGCACTGAACCGGCCGTCGAGTTTCCACGGCGCGGATAGAAATTTCTGCGCACGTCGATCGCGACGGGGAGCGCTAATTCACAGGGTCGACGGATGATCGTGCAAATCGGCGATCTTGCACGCTGATTTGTCAAACCGCTAATCATACGATCTCCCGTTAATATCGTTTCCTTCGATTTCGTGGACTCCTGGCACGCATTATTAACCTTGGACGTTGATGAAATCAATTTTAATGTGTTTCTATAAACGATACCTCCATTAGAATATCATTTTTACGATCGATGTGATCGAGTTTCTAGACGTACCGTGGAGATGTTTATCTATTAATCGAGCCATTCGTTTCACAGAGCGATTTCCTCTGCGAAATGAAACGTGGAAGAACTTACAGGGAAATTAGATTGTACGAATTATTAGAAAATAGGAGTCGTATGTTTCTGCTGGAAGTACTGATTGAGCTTTAAATTGAATAATGGATTGGAAAGATGGTTTTTAGCTGGGATATTTGGAAGCGTTCGCGGAACGGAGTTGATCACTTTGACTGGTGAACGTCTCGATTAAAAAGGTTAGCAGACAAAGCAGTCCTCGCCGGTTCCACGTCTCTATTATTCGGTTTACTAGGCTCGTCCCTCGACTTCCCGACAATTTACCCTGGCGCAATGTAAAACGAAGTGTCCCGTTATTCCGTGGAATGTAATTTCGTACGTCCAACGGGGGAACGGCTAGGGATGTAATTTCTCAGTTGTTTCTAGCATTCCTCTTTCTCGCGTAATCACCTGTTATGTCTATTCGGGAATCACGCGGCCGGAAACCCGTGTAGCTCTCCGGTTTTCCAGGAAAACTTCAATTCCCCATCTTCGGTAATCTGCTAGTGAAATCTTCCTTCGCTTGCAAACCACATATTGCTCTTTTAGGGTTAATTAAATAATTAGTCGTTCTTTAATGCCTGGCAATTTTCCGCTTAACTTTTCTTGTAGTCTTTTCTTAAGCAATTTCATGGATGTTTAGAGGTTCTAATGGTTCGAACTCATAAGTTACAGTTCACAGTATCCCTGAACGTTAAGTAGGAAAATATATGTCTTTGACGATAATATCTATAACATTTAATTAATAATTATTCAACAGTAAATATCTATAATTCGAATGTAACGTCTACAGAATGTAAGGTGCAGAAATAATTACAGTAGAAGAGATATTTAGTCACTCTTAATTAAACGCAACAGCATATGCGTCAATGTTATGTATATTATTGTACTTCGCGGTATTTTTCATATTATCTTTTGTTTCATATTGACACGTTATTATCAAGCAAATGTTCCACGAATTCGCTGAGCGAGAAGAGGAAACAACGGGGAATCCGATCTGTACAACAATAGCCCGTGTAAAACACGTACGTGCCGTCGCAAGGACGCGTCGGCTGTTCCTTTATAATTCGTGGCCTGAATCGATCTTCCGGTTATGTCACGATTTCTTCAATGGAGGCGCAATTATACCTCGTCGCCGCAATTCCGCCGGTCGTTGTCGACACAATAAATACATGCTCGCACGAGTTACGCCGGTGCAATCGACTTGTGCAATGTTCTGGATCCCCCTGTCTTTAACCCATTTTTGTTCGCATCGACCAACGGAATCGCTGTCACTTTCTAAAACAATGCCTATACTCCTATAGGACATATTTCAACAGCTCCCAGCGAGTTGACTGAAACCCAAATCACTTCGAAGGACTCCGTATTGAAACATTTTATCATTGACGAACAATCGCGAGATCTAAAGTATGATTACTTAACGTTTAGACTTTCAAAGATCAATAATTAGTACCCGAGGATTTCATAATCATGTTTTCTTGCAACAGAATTCAACATTTTTCTTAGGGTTGCTATTCAGAAAAAATTATACTTTGATATAATACAGCTATTAAGAAGCCTATCAACAGGTGGCTAAAGTGCTAACAAATTCGAAACAGTTGATTCATCGCACCGCCATAAGAAAAGTGTGCAAACCACAAGGTTCCTTCTAATGAGACGTCGTTCCAATTACACCACAAATTTCTTCTGAGCAATGTTTACCACGAGAGACGTGCTCGTTGCAGCGTGACGGGAACTTCCGCGTTTTTCGATTGCCCAACGAAATTCGAAACAACGATGCGACGACGCCATGTTTCGCCACACGCCGAAACGACCCTGCCGCCCGGCTGATTATTCCGGCATCGAACATTCTTGCATCGGCAACGGAATCGCTGGCCCACGCGCGAGAACGGCGATTTATTAAAACGATTTCGCGGCTGGTCGATAAATAGGCGACACGACTCCACCGGGAGGCCACCGTTTAATGGACGATGGTGTTTGAATAGCTAGACAAGCGGTTTGCGCAACAATGAAAGTAGCAGGGTAAAGGTTTCTCGCGGAAAACGGCATTCCGCTCGTTCCTCGAATAAGTCTGGTGCAATGCGTCTGTATCAATCGCGATGTTGTCCGATTGAAAATTACGAGCGCTCCCAATCGATTTTTTAACCGACGCAACGCTCGATATGGACCAGCTAATCCGTGCGTTAGATCGATCGAGATTACCGCGCGATCGGTCGCAGATTAAATAGGTTTCAGATACGCGAAGATTAAGTTACTTTGATCCTAGAGCTGCGCAATGAACTTTCGAGTATCGTAAACAAGCCGTAAGTAAACACGATCACTCTCTGAATATTATAGATACAGTTGAATACAATGGACTTTTGAATAATGTTCCTAGATTGTAGATTAATACAACGGCTCTCTTAACGTCTACACGCTTATTCCTAGCGAATTCGATACCACTGATCTCGATGAATTAACTTCCCGGCGAATCTGCATTATTAATCTTCATTTGCGTTCAATGGTATTTTCATACGATCTCCATATAATTGTCAATTTTAATATCAAAACGATCTGTGTCCGAGAGTCCTCTAAACTCTTGGAGACAATATCATGCGCTTCATTAATATTCTCCAAAAAAGCCTCGCACGTTATAATTTCTACAAACACCCGGTAGATCGCCCGGTGTCACATCTAGCGCAATCGGATCCGTTCTGCGGCGAATACCAACGATTTTCGACACGCGATTTCAAATATCCGTCACGAGGCTCGTAGCCTCTGTCGCAAAGAGCAAATTCGTTTCACCGTGATCCGTTTGTCGATCAACGACACCGAAAGCAAATCGGGCAACTCGTCGAATCACGTTCGCGGACGTTCCCGTGTAACAGTACCGATCGCGAAAAAATGAGGAAAATAGAGGATAGAGAAGATTGGGTAGCGGACGGAGCGCCGGTGATCGATTAAGTCCGAATTGCACAGGCGATCCAGTCACGCCATCATCGCGGAATGAGTCGCGATCCGTTGAGCATTATCCGGTGCCGTGTTGCGTGACTGCCGGCGTGAATGCTGACGAGCACTGGACCATCGAAAACCAAGGCTCCCGTTCTCAGGATTCAAGGTTTTTAGATGTGCACGTGTGAACCGGCGTTCCTTTGTCTCGCTGTGGAAACCTGGTCTTTTTACTGGCGCGCGGGCAAAGTATCCGGCAATTGCGATTGTTGGTATCCGGCCCCTGATCTTCCTGGTTCCAGCTTTGTCTGAACCTTATCGCGGTCCCCCATCGATTTATTTCTTTCGCTTCTTCTTTTGCTCGCAGTGCCATTTTGTAAACAGTGCGCGCTGATTACGGAGGTTCGGCTCGAAGCCGGTCTTAACCTGGAGGAATGTATCTAACGGAGCTGCCGGATGGATCGGAATGATTCCTGATCTCTTTCTTCGGGATTACTAAAAAGGTACGGATGCTTTGAGTAATGACTAAATAAATTAATTCGGTGATACACAAACTGCGATGTAGGTCGGCTGAGATGTTAATAAACGCGCTGTTTGTGGTTTCCGCAGAGGAAAATTGAAAAGATGATTGACAAACAACCGAAGCGAAAGAAGAGATATTGCCGCAGCGTGCTCCGGAGACGAAATAAGAAGACTCACGATAGCAAACGGAACGACAACTCATCTGAATCGGCCAGCGCAAGAAATATCAGCTGTCGTCATTCTCGGATGATTACACAGGATCTCATCCCAGTGACCTACAATAAAACTGCAACACGCGAACGCGCGTATTACGGAGATTTAATGAAAACAAATACTGCGGATCGCGTTTCTACGCGATCGACGGCGTAACAGCGAAAAGAGGAATCGTGAAGGAAACGGAATACGTGGGTGTCGCGCCGCGTCGGTCAAAGTGTTAAGTAATCCCCAAAGGATCAAGCCAAGCCGATCGGGGCCGAAGGTTGCGAGAATGGGAAAAAAGATGCCAGTGGATGTTACGAAAGGGAAACGGGCACAGAGGTCGACGGGATTCCTGCGCCGAATAAGCTCGAAAGAAGGGGACATTTCGCGACGAGACGTTCACGGCGCTAGGCCGACGACACAGCGTTCGAATGACGCGCGTCGTGACGATCGTCGTTTCGTGCGATATAGGTGGCCAGCTGTTTCGGCTGCGTACGGAAGAACCTCGACTATCCGACTTCAAACTCCGCACTTGGAAGCTTTTCGACGGAGTCTTTTGAATCTTAACGATAATTCACACATAAGTTCAGCAGTAATTGAATATCATGTCACCGATGACTCCCAACCAAATATCACTATAATTCATTGTATTAAACGATGATTATTTGAAAACATTCGTAAATAATCTAATGCGGTGACATTCAGCTAGACGAGCATGCAACAATTATAATATAATTCAATGATTTAATATTATATTTCTTCTATTTTCTGTATTTTATTCTCTAAAATCACGCAGTATTCGACGTGTTAAAGATTCAACTTTGTAATTCTACCGTGTAGAATTAATTACTGTGACTGAGTCAGCTCTCGAGCGCGAAAGGTTAAGATTGAACGATCCAGACGGTGGAAAATAGTGACTCCGGTATATCGTATTAATAACTAACGACAAAGAAACAAATGCGCACCGCAATTTGGAAACAATGCAGTTCCAACACTCGTGTGACCCGGCCTATTTACCTTTATAAAAATCAGAGCAAGGTTCGCTATTACCAACGTGCTCTCCAGCATAAACACTTGGAAACGGAGCTGACGCTGATCGTGTCAGCTCCCGTGTGTCCCCAACCTTAAGCGTTATCCTCCAGCAAGGCGTTCGTTCGGGAAAGGTGTGTAATCGTTCACCTGGCTGGGAGGAGATGGTGCAAGTAACATAACTGTACGGTCCGTCCGATGCCGGCAAAGGGGGAGCGAGCCGGCATTTTTATTCTAATGCGCGCGAGAACACGCACCGGCTGCGTTCGCCAAGGTAAACGCGCTCCGGAGGCTCCAGCTCCTGGAAATAACAGAGCGGCGTACGTCATGCGGCCAGCCGTTGCCTCGTGTACACATGATCGAGTAATATTCCAATGATTTCACGCGAGCCGTATCACGGTGATTGCTAAACTAACTCTTTGTCCGAGTTAAACATACGGAATTACCGTTTCAGCTGTTACTTTCTTGGCACACATACGAACGCAGCGCAGTGTTTAAAACAGGTTGTTCCGCCGTGCAGATTGATAACGAAATCTTTTAGGGATTAGAAAGGGAACTAACGTTTTCATACGAAGACATTTTGTATCTTCATCCGATCTCTGAGCCTTAACGAACCTACGACGATGATGAAGCGTTACTAAATGCTCGAGGAAATATCACATCATACGCGTTCCAGGAAGAGGAACATACAGGGTGTCGCAGAGTTACCACACTTTGAAAATAAGAGAATTAAATTCAGCATTTTGCCAGCTAATAATGACGCAGAAGACAATGACGGACTACCTACTTCAGTTACAAATCAGACACTTCCAACCCAATGAACGCGCAATGTTGCTTCGGTAATACAATATGAAAATTCATAAAGAAGATTATTAAGAAAATCGTTAGCAGAAGCTGCAGTATCGGACGAAGTCCCAACTCGCTCGGACGAAGCCAAACGCCGAGCGGACTCTCCTTGGCAGTCGAACGGGCAGGAAAGTTCTCGTTGGAGGAGAACGATCTAGCGGTTTTTCCTGGGGATCCCAAATAAAGGAGGCGTAGGAAAGCGGCGCGCAACGAAATCCCGGTACTTTTTAAGAGAAAAGCCTCGGATCGCCCCGCGACAACGCGGATTCCCTTAAAGGAGAGCGCGATCGCACGGGATCGCGGCTCGCGAACGCTAAACGCGAGGCTTGTCGAGTCAACGCGCTGAAAATGGGCGCGGCTCGGAATGTCGATCGTTCCGTGGATGACGGAGGCTAGACCGAGGCGAGCCCAGGGCCGCGGGCCGAAACGAAGAGATCCCAGGCGAAATTCCATGTCCACCGGCAGCCATCCGTTGCACAGCGAAAATCTGAAATTTCCAGCCCGACCGGGTTAACTCCGGGTGAATTCCGATCGAACGAACACGAACGGCGCGCGATCCGCTCCGACAGAAAAGTCATCGAACAGGAATCGCGGTTGGTTTATGAATTTCCAACGAAACGAGCGGCGTCGAGGAGCGGACGATCGTTTTGATCCGCGATAGAATTTTTATTGTATGCAGATCTCAAGGAAGAATTCTGCGTCGAATTTCATGTGCGTCTTGGAACTGCATGCATTACAGTTACTCGTCTAATTATAGACCTGAATGAATGCGCGTATATAGACGTAATTACATAAATATGGGAACACTTATTGCCGGAGAGAAAGAACGCTTTTCAACGGAAAATCGCTTCTGATCGAACATTCGTCTTGATTCGTCTTCTGCGATGCAGCATGGACTGTAATGGAATTTCTGTTTCGCTCTTGGCCTCTCGAGATTGGAAAGATTTCTCGATGATTTTTGTGCTTATTAAATTAATATCGAATCGAGTTACCAAGAGTAAACACTGATTTACGCGTTGGAAAGTGTGTACCTCGAAACCAACACCTGTGTGATACCGTACTTTCTACGGTAGAATTGCGCCGCGCAATTCATCCTGCCCCGAGTATCGATAAACATTTCAGCCGAGTAAAACATTGGCCGCCGTTTAACAGCTGGACTTCAGTCGTGAATCTAGCGCGATCGCGCGGTTCAGGTCGTTCCATTCTTTTCGCTAAAGAAAAGAGTGACCGATAGAAAGCTCGAATCGGCGCGAGAATGGAACGTTAATGCAGAATGGAATTCGTGTCGCGGTAACGAAAAATACGATAAATTCAACGTGACGCTCCGAAGACTGAAAATATTATCAGCCCTTTGAGGATGAACATCAGCATATCGATATCAAGATTTCGTATTTAGAATACGAAGTCGCAAGGCAATAATTTAATTATTCAAACAACGTAGAATTAATCCGTGGTTTCCTCTGTTCCTATTATTCAGAAGTTCGACATATAATTTTACTCCGACGAATGTTTCGAAAGCTTCAAAAAATCTTCTAAACTAGCGGATTCTTATCGTCATTGACACTTCGGGTGCGAGGAATGTTTAAAGTATTCGAATCCTTCATCGGAGAAAACTGGATTATAAAAGAAAATACCGAGAATAACAATGACGGTTCTACGTGTTTCTAAAAAGGGAACAAGGGGAAGTTCCTATCAATATCTCTCGGGAATCGAGAGTATCGAATCGCTCCCATAACTCCCCCGATTGCCACGGAAGAACGGTACCATCCGCTGCAAACGCGGTACGGCTTCCTCGTGGAATATTTCACGAAAGATTCGTGAGAACCTCTTCCCACCGAACAGACTCCCAAGGCCCCCGCGGATGAACTTGACCTTCGACCCGAACGTTCACCTGTGACAAGGACGACGGAAGCCGGGGAGATTCCACTTCCGGTCTTGCCCGTCTAACGAGAACGAAGCCCTTTTTCTGAAGACCCTGAATTAATCGGCTTATTCCTTCGTTCGACGTTCGCCCCTTAACGCGCATTACTAGACCACCAGTATTTATGCGAATTCCCACCTTCACGGAATCCTGGATCGTCGAAAAATTCCTTTCGGCGGTCAAAGCGATTCGCTGAATTAGGAAAAATATTTTGAACCTCAGCTTCGTTAGCAATTGGAATCTCCGGTTCGTTTCGAATTGCAGTTCTGTGGAGGATAGAATCTTTAAACGACTGTTTTCGATTCACGCGAATTTTCGACGAGTCGAATAATTGCAATCGCTGCGTTGAATATGTAAAAAGTTTGATTTAATCTGTTCAGCATTCTTGGAACTCGTGGAACAAGGCGAGAACGTCATAAGCGGCGCAGAAGTTTGGGGAAAATGTCGGAGGAACTAAAAAAAGCAAAGATACCAGCGGACGTCGGAGCGTTAGCTACGGAACGGACGGACTTTCCAACGCGTTTACCGTAATTCGTTCGTGTAACGTGTTATTAATCGAATCATGTCCCAGGATATTCCTTCGGCGCCGAGAAACGAGGGATTCTTTTTTATCTGTCCCAGCTGAAATACTTTCTTCGATTTTTATGCGTCCCCTAAGTGTAGAAAGTGGTCGCAAAAAACGAACTAATAAGTAACGACGTCCTAATGAATATTTAACCAGCCTATTTGCAAGTTTCCAACGTCGCTGTCGATAATTATCATGGGAAAACTGTCGGTTCGGTTTTCTCTGTATCGGTGTACGACGATTTTACTCGTTATTCGCGAATTGAAAATATCCTGTGTACTCGCGGACGCGGCTAGGTGTATCCGGGATGACACAATCATCGACACAAGCGAAACCTGTTTTTTCTACGACGAAAATAACCGGCCGCCGATCAAGTGCTTATACTTTCGGCGTGTCCCCCCGCGAAAGTCCTATTCTACATTTAAATTTGAACATCACCTGCGCAGAAATCGGTCAGGTCAGTCACGCGAGGAATGTTGGCGATTTGTGTCGGATCCGATGAAATATAGTTCAAGTGTTTCCACCACAAAGGAAGGAATTCGAACGCGAATGCGTCAGCGGAGAATGTAAAAGTGGAACTTTGAAGATACATATTAACTACTTTTTTCAAGTTCGTATCTTAGGCGAACAGAAGTCACGATCGGTACACTTTAATCAGTTGGACAACAACGGAGGGAAAAAGTTATCTTTTTGTTCGTAGGCTCGTAAACTTGAATACATCTAAATTAGAGTAAAAATTGATATGCTCTTTAAATTCTTTCCAAAATGAACGCGACTGCACGAAGAAATTTTCTGTTCCTTCTCTAGAGATAAAAAGGTGACCGAACACATTTGTCCACGAAAGCCAAGGTATCTCTTCAACGCACTGACTCCGAGCCAGACTCGATCGTGACGAAATCCACCTGAACCGTGAAATCACCGACGCACCAGCCATTAAGTGCCCAGGCCGAAAGAAAGGTGTAACAAAAATCACGAGGGAAACACGTTGTCCATTAAATAACGGGGTTACCAGTAGAGGCAGATCTCGCATTGAGCACAACGTGGCACTCCGTGAGATTCCGTAGCGGCTGAAGAATGTCCCCCCACTGCTCGGGGAATCGTTCGGAAACGGGAGGAGAAAAAAGAACCATAATCCCGATGAGCAAGTGAACCTACGAACCTGGATTTGGGCGCGCTTGACCTCGGTGTAGAGCCAGTTGTCGGTGGAAAAGGCGATCGCGAGGAGGCCGGTGGCAATGATACCGGTTATGGTCGCGAGGGACAGCGTCACCGCGGAACAGGGCATCTTGGTATCCTCTTCTTCTTCTTCTTCTTCTTCTTATTTTTCTTCTTCTTTCTCTTCTTCTTTTTCTTCGTCAACCTCTTCCTCTTCTTTCTTATATTCTACCGATTTCCCTTTATCGACCACACTCCACGCTCCGTTACGTTCACCTCACAAGGCACCACTTGCGACGATACTGAGAAGAAGAGCTACGATGCTGAGGAACAGAGGTCGTCGTCGTCCTCGAGGTTGTCGAGCATCCGTGGACTAAAAGGAACAAGGAAGAAAGAGGGAGGGAGGAAGAGCGTAACAGAGAGATGCCGAGAGAAAGATATGAGACTCGCACGAAACAGGTCACGAACCGTTCGCGAATCGGTCCAGCCTTCGCGAGATAATCCTTCGGAAGAGGATCGGACGCGAACTCGGTCAACGGAATTTCTGGATCACGATCGTGCGTGGTACACCGGGCGATCGTGGGTCGGTTGGTGGAAGAAGAGGACGAGGGAGTACTACTTCTCGAGGATGAGGACGTCCTTCAGGGTGCACGATACTCCGCGATACGCATTACTACCATTCTCTCCTACGACAACGACACTAACGGCCCGACTCACCTCGGAGAAAAGCCGAGAGTCGACCAAGGAGAGAGAACCGGACCCGAAGTGGGGATATGCACGTAGCCCCGGGCAGGTATATTACCTGTGTTTTACCTTCAGCGGTGCTCAACGCAGGCCGAGGCCCGAGCCGCTACGCGGAGAATGCAGCGCGCAGGCTACGCCGATTGGCTGCCCCCACGGGATAATGGAATCGCACAGTGGGTGGGTCCCTGGGAACCGATTTTTCCTTCGGGAACGTCTCTCGGACGTGTGTCCTGCGTTCCCTGCCCTCCGATGCACCGAACCCGGCCGGTTTCAGAGGCCATGGACGGAGACTTCGACGCACGCATGTGCGCGAATTCCTTGATGCGCACGATCCATTCCGTGCTGTTTATTCTAATCTTGCTTTTAGGAATCATGCCGTGGTACCGATGCATCGGTGGAGGAGCTCCTTTTCGATACTTTTACTTGAATTCGAACTTCGCTTCGGACGCGGTGTTTTGATAATGTAATTCCGAGGGAGTTGGTGGGGGAAAGGAACAGTAAAGCAGTTATCGTTGTAAGGTAGAAGTAAATTTAATAATATCGCATGTATATCGTTTAATTAAATCGTGGAAATAGGCTTGTATGAAAATTTCGCGGTTGAATTACACCGTTATCAGGATTCGAAGTGGTGATGTAGAGTTTCGTTGTAGGATCTTCTTACGTGGAAGTAGATTAACAACAAATAACTGCAAAATATATGGAAACGATTTATTAACAAGTTCTCTTCTGGTTAACAGGTTAAAATACAGGCTCAGTATGCGACGCCACAGATGCGGTCGACTTTTAATAAATATTTCATTGCTTGGACAGTTGATGTTTACACTAGCAACGATCGGATGTAAATATTTAATATACAAATGAAGGATACCGTAGCACAATGGAGATACAAGAGTTGGGGGACGTGGGGGAAATGAGAACAGCGTTTGCACGGCTGTCTACCTGCTACCATAAAGCATTCCTTCCTTGTTCCTTTACCAAACAGTCCCACCACCAGCGAGATAAAGTCGATGCAATAGTCGAAGGCGGGGAAAAGCGAGGAATTCCTTGCATTCTGCGCGCTTCCCCGTCCGTTTTGCCTCGGCAGCCTTGGCTACCGCGGGTTCCACCTTTTTACCGCGTTTGATTAATTTTGATCCACGGGTAATCCTCTCTCTTTCTCTTTCTTTCTCCTCCTTCTCTGTCCCTCTCTCGCTCTGTCCCTCTCCGTTCGCCCCCTCCTACACGGATACCTGTCGGTGATAGATCACCAGCAAGGAGCGAGGAGCACCTGCGTACCTGCGGGTTCGTGAAATCGCGGACATGCAGGTACCAGGAATTTTTGCGCGGCTAATGCCACTTCGACCTTAATTGCCCACCTGAATTTTACAAGTCTGCCTTGGTAATTGTTACACCGAGCAATCAGTGCATACAATACTTTATAACGTATAAACTGACTGAAATGAAACGTTTTTAATAATGGTATTCGATGTTTACATACACCTCGAAGAATCTCGTGCAATAATTCTGTCGTTCAAATAATTAGTAATGCTGTTACTGTGTTGGGACCAAAGAAATTTGGATGTATTTTTGTAGCTCGCTGAAATGTACGACTTAATGGGTTATTAATTATTACATTGTAATACGGTTCCGTTTGTTTTGAACTCGTTCTCCAATAGGATTGCGAAGAAATGAGTGATTGGAATTTTTAATTAATATGAAAGAGAATTGTATCTGCTACACTGAACCTTTTTATAAGAAATTTAATCTGCTAACCGTAGAGTATGAGTAAATTCTTAACAACAGTCGATTAAATATCAGAGGAAATTAATCAGTTACTAAAATTTAATATTGAAGGGTCATACGGTGTACCCTGAAAGGGAGAACCTTTGGCATTCCATGCCTTTCTAAAAATTTTCTCCATTCTCTGTAAATAAAACATTCACAGGTATTATATTGTCATTAAATACATAATAGGTTTATGAAACAGTGATTTTACTCACAATATCTTCAGAAGTTGGTTTACCAAGAAGCTTTTGCTGATGATTCCACATCAACTCTTGAACTTTCATTTGCTCTTCTAATCCCATATCATCCAAATTTCTTGAACAATCTATCTTCTTCAATTCTATTTTTGGTTCACCAACTATCAGTGCATCCCACCACCTCTCAGAAGCTTTTTCAAAATGAATCTACAATGAAACAAATCATATACGATAGATAGCATCTATGTATATTAGAAATTTTTAAAGCAATATTTATTATATCATTCAACTTACACTGATATGCTGTCCAGGTACTACCGACCATACAGATTCATTTTTTCTGGTCTTATAACAAAGTTTTTCCATAAAAATTGTAGTCCATTCTGAATCAGAATATTCTTCCTGATGTTGCGCTAGTGTTGATGTTCTTGCTTCTATTTTAATATCCATTGAATCTAAATCAACTTTAAGGTCTTTTGCAGTCTTTATACAATCCGGTATCTTAATGAGAACATCTAGATCACTAATGGTTTGTGACCATGTATAATTGTCTCTTACTGCTCCATTGTAACTATCAGAAATCCTATTATTTTCTACTAATCGAATTTCTTTATCTGTAACTTGTCCCTCTGTACTTGTTTCTACTTCAATTTCTTCAACAACTTGTGGACCAATCTCTTCTGTAATTATTATTGCTTCATTTTCAGTTTCCTCATTACTCGTAGCATTAGAATCTTTATTTATTGGTGGATCCGTTCCACTTGAACATTTGGCAATATTTTCCCATTTTTGTAAACTACTTAAAACCAATTTCTTTGTCATCCCAGGTGGGAAACCTAATTTCTGATCTGGACCAGATTCAACATAAAAATCTGTACTGTAATCGAATTGTATGTTACTATTTTTATTAGTGACACATTTTCTACCATGAAGTGTAAACCATACATAAAAATCACTTAAACTACATGATCACTTACCGTCTGCAAAGAAATCCAAAAAATGCATCTAAGAAATTGACAATATTTTTTTCTTCTGTTAAAATTTGTAAAAATGCATTATCGTGGTCAGAATTCATTGTATACAATCTCACTGGTCTACTTGTATCAAGGGTTTCCCAGATAATGCAATCGTTTAATTTAACAATTAACTGTTCTATAAAATGTATTGATAGACTATTTTCAAGGTTTCTCTTTAAACGTTCTTATATTGCGTATTTTAATAAACATTTACAAGAAATGTATTTAAAGATAAACTGTTTGAGAATCACTGATTAAAAAGTTAAATGCAGATAACGCCTATCTGTCGAACAATTTTGATTGTGTAAAATAAATAAACTATGTTTTAGTTTTTAATATAATTTTTATTATTATAAGTTTCCCAGTTTTTCTCAAAAATATTGGATTGAATGACAGATATAACGATCACATTCACTACGAGAATGCGCCACTATCGCATTTAATACGTCACTGTTTTCTTCACAGTGCATGTTTCGCAAAAAGCATGCATTGTTTACTTATTTTGACGTTTCATAAAGTCATTGAAAGAAATACAAATTAGTATCTATAAAATAAAAATAATCGCCATTATGAAAAGGACTTGAATGGATTCAAATTGACGAAATGGAAAAGTTTTAAGATTGTGAAGTGTTTTCTGAAACAATTTTAAATTTCATAGTCTAATCATTTTAATAGAACGTTGTTAACACTAATATAATCGCGCCAATTTGTGCAATGACCACTATGCCTAATTTTACTCCAGAAATAGCGAAAGGTATTTAAAGTTATCAGTAAAATATTCATTATTGGAATTATATTTAATTAGTATAAGCATTAAAAAATCTTACTTGATAACTTTGCTTCAGCTGTTCTAACTGATGTTCTAACAGCATTAAGCACCCCAGAAAATATTCAGAAATTAACAGAGGCGAAGGAAAACTCAGGAAATGAAATGCTCAAAATGATGCAATTTGTTTTTCCAATCGTAGTACAAATTCAAATGGATGTTATTAAGAACTATGGGTTTCCAGAAGGAAGGGAAGGTAAACTTTAAGTTGAAAATTAATTTACCTTATGATACAATGTTTTTTTACAAATAATTTATTAATCTTTCATACATTACAGGTACAGTTCAGTTTGCACAATTACTCAGAGCTTTAGAGAGGGAAGACCCTGAAATAGCACAATTGCATAGTCAAGTTCGCTCGTACTTCCTTCCTCCAGTTACTATAAGTTCTTCAACTGAAGCATCTCTTTAGAATAAAACATATTACACATAACAAAAGATTGCTTTATTCATGAGTTCTTCTATTCAATCATATGATAAATGCCACAAGTAAAAACAAATAGAGTAAACAGTTATATAATTATGGAGGATTAATCCCATAAACCATAAACCTGGAAACAATTTCTTAGGTTTATTTTTAAAAATCATAACTTT